ATCATATTAAATAAATAGTGCTTAGCATTCATGTAATAACATAAAAGTTATTGAAAGGGACATTTTTGGAGGTTATATGAAAACGACCCGAATCCAGTTTCGCGCACTTTCCAGTAACCGATTTCAATAAAACTTGGCAAATAGATGTAATTCCACAAACTTTGAGGACGGTTTTTTTTAGTACTCTGTACTGAGATTATTGAAAAGATAGAACATAAACTAATATGTATAAAATATGCTCAAAGTACGAAAACAATTTTGTTCCCCTAAAATTATAAGTAGATAATAAATAATATTACTTTTAGATAAACATTCAGCAAAGTCAAACAGTACATTACAGTCGAGTTCTTAGGTTTCGCGATTGCTACACATAGGAAATGAAACTATTTTTCCCGATTTAAATTGCGTATATTTTTTATTTTATTTTAATTTTTGATTCATATAAACCAACGTTTCGGGCCTTTTACAGTCAACCGTAACCATGGGACCTGTAAAGGGCGCGAAACATTGGTTTGTTTGAAAAAAACAAATAACGCGATTTAAATCCGGAAATTAGTTTCATTTATAATAAGTACATTACAGTCTTAAAATGTATGGTCGTTAATGACATTATTTGAATCCCAAACTAAGCGAAAAACTAGTATTTCGGGAGTATCGGAGCTGCATAGTTCACACGGAAATCAAACTATTTCCCTATTTTTAATAACATTTACTCCATGTTAGTAAGCAAGTTAACAAAAATATACTGTAAATAAAGTGTGTTTCTTTTATATAACTAAAAATGAATATTTTTCCGGGTATTAATTTCAATTCAGTCTGTATCTGAACGCATTTCTTCATCTGATATAGCTATGTTACTATGTCGCCATCGATGGAATAATCACTTTCCGTGCTCCTCGAACAGGTATTTATTATAAAATTGCCCATGTACGGTTCAACAAGTGGTTCAAATTTTCTATATTCATCCTCACATTTAATTGCATGATCACGTATTTTTTCCGGTCCAATCATATAATTTGTTTCCAATATTGTTTCTTTGATTGTTGTCACATCATTGATATATTTTTAATAGCTACGTGTCGTTTAATTTGAGACCACACGTTTTCAATTGGATTAAAATCCGGATGATATATGGTGGCAATGGTCAAATGGTAGGGCCATGGTCTTCCATTTTGCAGTCAATAGCATACTCCGAGTATCTTTCTTTGCTTTTTTTTTACAATTTCACATAAATATAAATAGATTTTTAATGTGTTTGGGTTATGAGGAATGTTATGTTGCTGTAATAAAGCTATAATTTGTGGTTTTTGGAGTGTTTGAGTTCTGAGGTTTAATTGATAATTTGTTATGGAATGGTGCATTATCTATCACTTAAACACTATTATGGAGTAGGTTTGGTATTAACTGACTACGTAGCCAAGTTTTATATCGATCTGCATTGATTCATAATGGTAATCATCATTGCCACTATCAATACATCTATGTAACATCAGTGCACCTGGAACGAAACCCTTTTCATTTCTGGCATGAACGATAATTATGCGTTGTCCTTTCGAAATTGGTTTATTTACACTTTTTTTGTTTTTGTCTGTCCAAGATGTCCCGTTTGTGTGCGATGTGTGCACATATGATTCATCCATGCAAACTGCCTCCGTGGCCGAACGGTTACCATACCGGACTGCCACGCAGAGGTCCCCGGGTTCGATTCTCGGGCCGGGAGAAATATTTGTATGGCCTACATTTATTTCTCTCGTGAGTTTGGGTGTAATTTGTGGTTGTCTATATGTGTGTCCATGGCACCCGCGACACAGGGTTTCCGTAGTGCGGGGCTATGTTGAATGTGTGCGTGTTATTACCCATGAAGACAATATTTTTGCCATCTGCCCCCAACTTCTGAATTTCTTGGAGATACTTGAATCTTTTATGGCAAATATCATGCTTTTCCACTAAGACAGCCCTATTACTTTCTGTTTTGTTATATCAAAGCCCATATCTTTCAAATTTTTTCTTAACTCATAGCTAGTGTATCTTTTCTCTGCCGCATTCGTCTTACGGCTCATGTAATACACAGGATGCAAACTGCCATCTTCTGGGCACATCTGTAACAACACAGCTGCATAACCGAAAACTGAGGCATCGGTGTGCAACTCTGTTTTCAAATCCGGATTGTAAATGTTCAGCACAGGACTACTAACTAGCTTTAACTTTAAGTCATTAAACCCACACGCAAAATATGCGCTTTGTCGTCGAGTTGCGGATACCAGCCCGTTGCACCAAGTACCAAGTAAGTCATTAAAAATTGCTCTATGACAGTCATCAAAAACAAAACTTTTAAGTAAGTCTGTTAATGGTCTAGCAATTAAGGCACAGTTCGGAATAAATTTTAAAATAAGAATAAATTTTCGGAACACCTCATTCATCATGTCCATACCACAAAATATCCCTGTCCCCGTCACATTTACAGTGTTTATCATATCGCCATCCTCGGAGAACAAAATGATAATCGCAACAAAGTTTCAGGAAAAATAAAAAACATGTTTTCATTGACAAGTTTTTAAATACTAGTAAATAATAATAGGTAGATTAATAGTTAGCTTTAAGGAAAGAATATTTTTTGTGCATTCTATATTATAAATGAAACAGCCGTAAGTTAAGCCAAAATGGAGATATTTCAATAATAAATAAGTAGTCAAAATCAATCATCGTGTTGGATTTATATTGTGTATTATCATTTTATTCTCGTTGTGTCTGAGCTGTAAACAAGTATTGCACCGTTGACTTATCATTTTATTCTACGGGTTGCAATAGTACAAGTGGCGAAGATAATAATTACATAACATCTTATTCTCTTAAACATAGTAAGATATTTTTTTGCAAAGGCCTTTTATTCTGCTGTTACAATGAAACCATTATATGATAATCAACTTTTGCTTTATTATACGAACAGCCCGAACAGTTTGAAACGGGAATAAAATATGGTAACTGCGTGTATGTTATTTCGCGTAATTATTTTTCTAGAACGTAATTCTATTGTCATTTGTCATATTAAGGGTCGTATTCTAGAACTGTACTCAATGCTCAAGTCAGGATTTGAGTATGGTTTAAAGCACTCGAAATCATACTCAAGTCCCTGCCATTAGGGTCGTATTTCCAATGCTTGTGTTTCCAGTGCAATCCTGACTTGAGCATTGTAGAGTTCTGGAATACGAACCTTAGAAACGTAACTCATTTAGTTTAATATTATCATATAACCTTATTCTTGTGCACTTGGGCATGGGTAGAAAATTGGAATAATATTGTATTATTTTGTTATTCCATAAGTAACTGCTTAAAGAAATTGAAGAGTATTGGTGAATTGGTACCTAAATATCTTAAATATGATGTAACACTAAAACTGTGATAATGGCAGTTATCTTTTTGTTCTCCGGGGATGGCGATATATAGGAGAGGGCTAGATGATCACGAGCAGAAATGCTCTATGGAATCTATGGATTATTACTACTAATTTATAGTGAATGATCATTCAACTCTTTCCAATACGAAAATTAGTAGGTTACTAATTTGACATTCGAATGCCAGGATTAGCGATTACTAACGAGTTGAATATCGAAATCATTCCCAATCGCGCATCTCTACAAACTGTCAAAGCTGTCACAGACCGCCATGAAGTTCCTGTCGTTCACGTTCCTCTCGTTCGTCGTATTTACTTTTTAACCGACTTCAAAAAAGGAGGAGGTTCTCAATTCCACTGTTTTTTTTTGTATGTATGTTACGCGATAACTCCGGTGTTTGTGAACCGATTTTCATGATTCTTTTTTGTTGGAAAGAGGGTACTTCGTGGGTTTTAACATTTAATATTGAAGAAAATCATCCACCTCAAAGGGTGGCTTCTCACACATGAAGATTTATTTTTATAAAAAGCGCCTAAATTTTATTATAAACAGCAATTATTTTAATGGTTGATTTTGCTATTCTCCAATTCACGGCGTTTTTCTCTCAATATACTTTGAGTAGTGAGAACCGATTTTTATCATGTCCTGCGTCAAGTCCCGTATAGTGGCGAACTAGGGGATGAATCCTGGTTTGCGCACTTTCCGGTAACCGATTTCAATAAAACTTGGTAATTATATGTAATTCCACGTAATTTTGAGGGAGGTTTTTTAGTACTCTGTACTGAGATTAACTATTTACTACCTGATTTCTACCTAAACTTACATTTTTTCACTATTTTAGGAAGCTTCTATAAAAAGTTATTAAAAAAAAAAGAACACTCCTTTGCAAAAATTATAATCTAAAAATGACAGTTGCTAATAACAGTTTTGCAGGCGCGTAGACTATGCCAACTATGGTTTCTGGATTATCTTTGCAAGCTATATTTTATTACAATTATTATATTATTTGCTAGTTGAATTCCCTATTACAAATGTAAATTCTATTTGTAGGTGTTAAGGAATACGAACGAATTATAATCAGTTTTTAGTAACGATAATAATCGTTTAGTTGTCATTTACAATTTACTTTAGTTGACAGTAAATATTCGAAATTACCCACAATATTCACAATGTGAAAATAATTGTGCACATCCATCTGTCGTCTTTCCAATTTCACTATTTTCCTTCTGATCCCGGAGGAAGTTCCCAAAATGCGTGATCCTACGAAGGAAATTAGACAGTTGGACTGATTAATTAGTTTATTTTAAATGAAATTTTGAAAAGACAGACACGGAACCGAAAAAGACGAAAAAGAAACACCATACCAGTCTAACGCCATTGATCTGAATGTGAATCTCATTCGCTCCAACCATTCACTCCTCAAAGTCATTCTATCCGCTCATTCACACAATCATTCATTCACAATGTTACCATGCATTCCCACATATAATAAATTTTATTGAAAACTTTATTCTGGGCGAATGGGATAGGACTGAATAGCTCTACCTGCTCCAAGTATCAATCATTATTTAATTAATTCAAGAACGCTAATTTCATTATTTTTCTTAGGCAAGAGATTCGCGCAGTTTCTGCCTATGGTGATGGAGCCAGTGATGCGCACAGCCGCTATGAAGCCTGAGGTGGCTCTTTTGGACAATGACGATCTCGAAACCATCGAGGGAGATCTGGACTGGCATTTCGTCACTCTTGGAGAACAGCAAAATTTTGGCATTAAAACTGCCGGTAAATTTTAGCAACAAAAAAATACAAGCTTGAAGTTTTAACTCTTGATGTACTAATGGTGTATTTTATTAATCAGTCTCTTTGTTGTACTTCAGGATTGGAAGACAAAGCTTCGGCATGTGACATGCTGGTATGCTACGCTCGTGAGTTGAAGGAGGATTTCGCCGAATATGTAGAGGAAGTGGTGAAGCTAATGGTGCCAATGCTGAAGTTCTACTTTCACGACGGGGTGCGCACTTCAGCTGCCGAGTCTTTGCCGTATCTCCTAGAATGCGGCCGTGCTCGTGGCGCTCCATTTATTCAAGGAATGTGGGCCTTCATTCTCCCAGAACTGCTTAAGGCTATTGACTCTGAGCCCGAGCAGGAAGTGCAAGTTGAACTGCTCAACAGTCTCGCGAAGGTAAGGTATATGACTTTAAAATTTATGTTATGTTAGTCATAGTTTTTCTAATGACGGTTTTAATTGTTCTGTCATTGTTTTTTGTTCTCATTTTAAAATATCCTGATTTCTTAAATCTTCATTTATTATTTTCAGTGTATTGAACTTCTGGGTGCGGGCTGCTTGCCCGACGAGATGATGGTGGATGTTCTTCGCATCCTCAACAAGCTTTTAACGGAACACTTCGAACGCGCTACTGAGCGCCACCAGAAACGCAACGACGAGGATTACGATGAGGTAAATGAGAAATATGTATCATACGATTATAGTGCTACCTAGAAAAGAAAGAGTTACTCCAAACAAATCATAACTTCATAGGTGGTAGAAGAACAACTGGTAGATGAAGATAACGAGGATGTGTATGGACTTTCGCGCGTGGCAGATGTGTTACACGCGCTTATGTCCACGTACCGCGAGAACTTCTTCCCGCAGCTGGACACCCTATTGCCACACCTGGTGGCGCTCTTGGGACCCGGCCGCCCTTATGCTGATCGCCAATGGGCTATATGCATTTTCGACGACGTTATAGAATTTGGAGGTAAATAATGAACATTATAAATATTATCTTGTCTGCGTCGCAAGTAACGACATTTTGTACTGTTTTTGTTAAGTTCAATACCACTAAAGGCAATTAATTATGTTTCAGGACCTGCATGCGTGAAGTATCAAGACATTTTCCTGGAGCCGATGCTGAGTGGCCTGAGTTCGGCCGAGGCGGAGGTGCGGCAAGCGTGCGCGTACGGGTGCGGTGTGCTAGCGCAGTTCGGCGGCGCGCAGTTCGCGAGCGCGTGCGCGCGCGCCGTGCCGCTGCTCGCCGCGCTCATCTCCGCGCCCGACGCTCGCGCCGATCACAACATTAACGCCACCGAAAACGCTATATCCGCCGTCGCCAAGATCCTCAAATATAACCACTCGCAGATCAATCGAGATGAGATTATCAGGCATTGGTATGTGTTTTGTAATGAAACAAAATTATTTGTCCATTGTCCCCTTTTATTATTACTAACTTACAAATTTATATGATTACGTTAGATCTAGGCAAAGGATTGTCGTGATACATTGGAATTTATTTGCCATATAGGGCTAATATGGGACTCCATCTGTTTTACCGTAAATTACTAATGCTCTGCAATGCTGTAAAGATTTAACCAGCCAAGGAGGGGAGACACAAATAAGTGGCAGCAGCATCTCGCGTCATGATTGTTAAATGTAACTTTGATATAGGTTGACATGGCTGCCTGTGGTGGAGGACACTGAGGAAGCGCCACATGTGTATTCCTTGCTTTGTGAGCTGGCGGCTACTGGGCACCCGGCGCTGCAGACTCCGGATGCTCCGCAAAGGGTCATCGCCACACTCGCTGAAGCTTTCTTGCGTGACGCTGTACCAACTGAAAACCCCGTGTATGCGCAAATGGTGGCTCTTCTTCGTCAGATACAGGTAATTTATATGCCTACATTGTTAATTTATTTAACAGAAAATCTTTATGTAGTTTTTTGAACTTGGGACTTTAAATTTTTTTTGACAGAGCAACACGGACTTGTTCAACTCATGCCTTATGCAGCTGAGTAACGAGCACAAGGAAGCGCTGCAAACAGCACTGTCGACGTAGTGGCGCCCGGCTCGCCCGCTATTCCCTGTATTTATTGCCCGCACCTGCACCTCGTGCCGCAAGCCCCGCCCCCGCAACATTTACCCGCGACGCGTCGACTGACGTTTACCCTTCGATTACTGTGTGTAACGATCGATTTCATTGTAATGAACTTTTAATGTAATAAAAATTGTTTCACTACACAACTTGTGTCATCCTATATGTGAAGTACGTTACGTAAATAAATGACTGAATAGGAAAAACTGAAATTATATACTCAATGCTTCTTTCCTTTTACAGGATTCTTTTCATCGATCTCATTCCGAAATCTAGTATCAGTTGGGCTAATTAAAATTGCTGTGATATATTTTTATACTAATTTTTGATGTTAATTTCATGCTTTATTCATAAAAGCACATCTGACCACGTCACATGTCGATTTCGAAACTTTTTAATGTTTATTTTCTTATGTCGACGTTGTATAAAGATTGCAAATGTAAACATGGATGGTTCACTTTTTCGGTGTGATTTTATGAATAGTTGCTTACGCATGTATCTAGCAACTGGATCCAAGAGATCCAATTTATATGTATTTTAATAAACGTTACTGCGTATCCGCTTTGTTGTAATATAATTTTTATAAATGTTAGGTATATTCTACACAATTAATTTGGCTGTACATAATGTAGGTGACCCGCGCAAATAAATATAAAATGAAAACAAAAAAATGTAATGCTCTTAAAAATCTGGCAGCTGTAAATTTTTATAATGAAACGGGCTTTACTATGAAATATATGAAGCTAAGAAAAAATGAACCATGCCATATTTCGGCTAGACGGGATCTTGGTGGCTCTCTCGTATTGAACGAGATATCATGTCTGTTTATAAGAAATAATTTTATTCCTAAAACATATATATATAATATTATTATTATATATACATTTCTTTGTTTAACTAAAATAAAAGTTATTGACATTTATGTTGTAATTTTATTACAATTGGTCACTTGATGTAATAAATGCATCGTGTTATGAATGAATCGAGTGATTGTTCACTGCCATCCGAGGAAACTAATTTTGGTAGGCATGGCGCTGAAAATCTGTCTAGTAAGACGGTGTTTCGAACGTATGCTTGTAGTAACATCTCTTCGGAATGCGTATTGTTTTTCAGACGTTCCTTATTCCAGCGTGACCATGGTCGACTTTTGGAAAAATGTCTAGCCAGAAAAACGCGCTATTTAGTCTGTTCTAGTCGCAAAAAACTAGATTTATTGTTTATTCTCATTTATTTGCATACCATAACATAATGTACATTTAATCGGTCCGCCGTTCAAAAGTTATAAGGATGTTTTACTGACCACGCTGAAATAAGCTTATTCCAGCGGCACCATTTTTGAATCTTGAGAACCACGGCTCCAGCTTATATCGAATTGGACCCAGAAAAAGTCGTGAATTAAGTCTGTTATAGCTGTGTGTCTCGGCGCTCATGTATACAAATTTTGCATAATATACAGAATTGGTTATTAATTTCTTTTTAAATACATATGTACATGGTATTTGAAGGTTTTAATAATGTTTAGTTCTTATACAAGCAAATGAGCAAACAATATGCAGTTGTTTTTCCTTAATGGCATAAGGATTTATCGATTGTCATGATATTTATTAGAATATGTATGTATATGAATGTCGTTTATTGCCCGTGGTCCTACTAGTTGGACAACGGGCAATATTGTATGGGCATTGGACCTACTGATCGGTTAGTACAGTCATCGTCAATATTAATAATGTGTGTGTGGTGGTGTGTAGTGGTTCTGAGGGAACTACAATTGTTCTCTAGGATGATCCCTATGACAGTTCATAAAAAATCGCAAGAAATTAAATTAAATCTTGTAACAACGTGCACTGTTTAATATATTTTATGAATTATTTTTGTAAGTATCACTTTTAAGTGAAATATTATATGGTGCGTGCAGTCACTGAAGAGCGCCGCAGCTGGCTTTAAAACCCAACATCATATCTACTTTGGAATGGCGACTGATCAGGCCAGCAAACTCGGTCTAGGGTGAAATAAGACTAATTGTAAGTATTCTAGTTACCAGGGCCACATACCAACCTCGCCTGCACGCGGTGCACACTGCACATAGCGAAAGAGGCTCTGGCCACACTTTTTTTATTCCCAAGGAGGGTTGACGTCAGGCAGGCGGCCGGTCATAAATACCATGCCAAATCCGGGTTTTTCACATTCTGCCTGACCGAGTTTTAAAAACGTTTTTATCCAAAGCGCCATTTTTTTATCCGTTTCGGCCTAAAATTGTGGGCGGAAACCATTATACGCGGTAAATAATAATTAATTAATTTGTGTACTGTTATGGTAATAAAATAACACTGTCTAAATTACATCACAATTAATTGTTTAATCGAAAGCTTGTACATTTTGTAAAAATACACATTAAAAATAAAATTAAAATTAAAAAACCCCGATACAAAACAGTTTACTCCAAAATTCAATAAAGTCACTATCTGTAAACTAACAACCACCCGTTGAGAGCAATTAAATGAGCCTAAACACGGTACTTCTGCTGTAAGTAGTTGAGGAATTGGGTGGGTATGTGCAGACAGAAATGTAGGTAGAATATAATATAAGTGGATTTTACCTACAAAATCTTCCTAGTATAGAACTTTTGATGATTGATTCAAATTAAAGAACAAAATATATACCTACTCCATTATTCATTTCCATACAAGACACAACAACAAGTTTGAAATATATAAATAAATAAAAAAGTAAACATAAAATTTTACTGTATCAGTATATACATAATGTAAATAAATAATATAAATATACACAAATCGAAATTTAATTTACATACATGTTTGTATAAACTTCTAATACAACGTTATTTTCTTATATATGTGACAAACAATTAAAATTATACTATTTAACATTGTATGACAATGTATAATTTTGGATATTGTACGACTATCGGATGGATGACACAAATTCATATTCACATTCCACACAATTACACACCTAGAGATACACATGCACATACTTGCACTCGCACATACTAACAATTAGGTTAATCTATTTTTAGTCTGAAAAGTTAAAAATTACTGTAATTAGTGAAATTTGTATTAGTTGTAACACCAGTTATAGTAGATATTAAGTTAGTCTGTTTCATCATCTTAAAACCCGTACCTGAGAAGCATAGCACTGTAACGCCATTTTTTACGAATTTGAGTTTTTAACGATATCCTACATAATTTTTCCAACTCTATCGACCCATAAAACTGTGTCTACGAAATTCGCCATAGGTACAGAGTTCTTTAAAAGTATTTTGATGTAAGACCACTACGCACTACGAAGCATTTTATTGTAGGTTCGGAGTTAGTCAGTTGTTACGCTCAATTTTAGTATATATAGAGTACAATGTTGTAAGATAACGAAAACAAGTAATAGTACATAGACCACGATTCGCCGCCGGTGCCTGATCAAGCAATACACCGTGAAATCCCCGAATTGAGGTTCGATAGTCTCGCTACCCCTAATATAAATTCAAGAAAAATTTCTGTTTAAATATGAAAAAGTTCCTGTGCCAATCCAATCAGTGGGTTGTTAACAATATATCGAACTGCTTGTTACAAATTGGCCATGAATCAACTCGGCAAACATCTCCATGTCAAATCTACAAATTAGGTTGTCATTCGAGTGATGTTAGTCTATTTGCACAGCGAGTGCTGTTTCTATCTACTGACCCAAGAGATAGAGAATTCCGGAGAGAGTACGGGCTCCTCGGTAAAACCAGGGTACGGTGCGCATCCGGGCCTAGCCCTCCGCCACTGATGCGCCTTCACGGGCGTCACTGGTGGACCCGGACATGGACTTGCCGGGGTTTGTGGTTAACTGCAGGGATGAACACGTTCGTCCGCCCCGGTAACATGCGGCCGGGGCGTTTGTCCCGCACGCAGCTATCGCGTTTTAGTAGCGGTCTAGACGAGGGCCTAAGGCGAAGAGATACGCGGGTCACGTGAGTTACACTTTAAGTCGGAAGCTATGTCCGGACATTGTCGCAAGACACTACGACCAGCATCTTCGGCACTAGCCCGGAGAGCCAGTAAAGGATAAGCTAGACATCCTCCGATCCCTCCAGATGCATAGGTTTATGGGAATTACAGAGACGCTTCGGCGTTGAGAAATGAGCGTGCCTACAGCTCCGCCACCAAAGAAGAGTTTTGATAGTTGACTTAGGGTCGTATTCTAGAACTCTACTCAATGCTCAAGTCAGGATTGCACTGGAAATACAACCCTAATGGCAGGGACTTGAGTATGATTTCGAGTGCTTTAAACCATACTCAAACCCTGGCTTGAGCATTGAGTAGAGTTTTAGAATACGACCCTTAGAGTCGGCGGCTTAACGGTGGCAGCCGTTAGTGAGCGTGCCTACAGCTTCGGTACCTATCTGGGACTATTTTCCAGAGGGTGCTGTACGTGTACCCGGGACAGCTCACTCAAGGCTAGCCTTTTGAGTTCCGGATGAAGTCCGTGCAAACGGGCTGAACTGGGGCCTGACTGAGAACAGTCTCTGCGGGCTTTCTCGCACAGGTTAGTACCCTTAGTGCCCTTCCCGTATTACCAAGAAGTTGATATGGAGGGTCACTATAAACAAAAGTTATGTATTTAGAAAGATATGGGGGCTCGACGAGAACAATGAATTGGTAAAGAATTCTCAGAGATGTGGATAAAATAGCCCTCAATTATTTGATAATGAAAATTTATTTGACACTGCCGCTGATCCTTGTGCTGCAGACAATAACGATTCTGATTTTGACTGGACGCCTCCTGAACCAAAATTTCACAAGGGATAGATCACTTTACATAGCACACGTACGTGACTCCGAAATATCAGGAATTATAAAATTATAATAATAAAATAAGTAAATTTGAACATAAATAGAAACTTCTTCTTCTTCATAAATTTTGTAGCAACAAAAACAAAAAAAAACCTCATTTTTCAACTAATGTAACCTTAGTCGGTATCAGTCATTCCATCACACGGTCGGTACGTCGATACCTACAATGGTTGTGTATTTTTAATTCTCATTGTAGGTACCGACTGCGTGATGGGATAACCGACAAAGGTTACATTAGTTAAAATAATAACAATAACAATTTTCATGTTGTATTTTTTTT